TGAGCCACCATGTTCTCTTCCAGGTTTCAGTTTATTGTGTACCTGGCTCGTTTTTTCTGTTGTGAGCTCTGGTGATTGTGTCAGGGCTCCATTAGGAGGAAGTTTCCTCTCGTGGTCTGAAAAACAAAACCGGAGAAGAGCCTTGTTAATCAGAGGCTCCCTCAGGCCTGTGCCATCCAGAACACCACCCCTCATGCTCCGCTGTTGAGAAGCACGTTTCCACCAGCTGTATTCAACACTACAATGCAGTTTTAAAACTATATTTGCATCCGAGACAATAAAAAGCTGTATTTTTTTGAAAAGCCTGTGACATGTGGTCTTCAATGGTACTCTGTTGGGCTGTGGAAGAGATGATTCAGGGAGATGGGAACAAAGTGATGCCAAGACGGGCTCACTCATTCTAACCTTGAGGGATGGGTGCAGCCTACGGTGGAGGCCTTGGCAGCGAGAAAAGAGGCCCAAGGTGGGCAGGGGTTCCTGAAGAGAGGCTGCTGGAAGGGCCTGTGACAGAAGCCCAAAATGACCAATTCTTCCCATGAACTCTCCAGGGCCTGGTGTTCCAGGCCTTTCCCAGGTGGACAGAGCTCAGTGGTGCTTGTACAAGCTGCCCATGTCCCCATCGGGAACCTGGGCAGATGGCACCTGGCCCATGCTGTCGAACAGGGTGGTTGTGAGGTTCACATAAAACCACGTCAGGGTGTGCAGTCACCCGTGGAGCACTGTACTTAGTATAGTCGGGGTGCCTGGGTGGCTCAGTCGGTTAAGCGTCCGACTTTGTCTCAGGTCATGACCTCGCGGTTCGTGAGTTCGAGCCCTGCGTCGGGCTCTGTGCGGACAGCTAGGAGCCTGGAGCCTGCTTCCGATTCTGGGTCTCCCTCTCTCTCTGGCCCTTCCCCTCTCGAGCTCTGTCTCTCTATCTCTCTCTCTCTCTCAAAAATAAACAACCATTAAAAAAAAGAAATTAAAAAAAAAAGTATAGGTCATCATCAGAATGGCTAACACTGGCCCCAGGGCTGAAAGTCTTCTGAGTCATGGTGATGGCCCCAGGGAGCTGTGGTCTCCCTGCTGACCATGGACCCAAAACCATAGGTGGAAAACGCAGGGAAGTTGAGCAGCAAAGATGTCCCGTTGCCGTGCTGAGAAGACTTTGATGATCTGTGTTTAATTTAGAAGCTTCTCTCTTTTCCATACCATCTTCCTGCGTCCCCCACCGCAGTCACTTGTGCCTGGAAGGTGACCCAGTGAGCCAACCAACTCGTGCTACCTCTTGCGGGCGGCCTAGCTCCTGTACAGAGCTGCCAGCCTGTCTCACCAAACGGCCCAGATCTGAATCTCTGACTAAAATGCTGTGGGTTGATACACCGGCTCTTGTCTGATCAAACCTGATGCCTCCCCCAAAGAAAAAGTCTCAGTGACACAAAGCAAGATTTTAGGTCTTGAGAACAGGAGGCCCTAGAAAGAAGTGAGTGGTTCTCAGACTCCTCTGGGCTGAAGAAACTCAATTTCCATTGAGCAACAGGTGTCTGCTTTGCTCTTTTTAAGTTTTTGAACGCAGCTCCATGTCATGTGTGGAATCTTGAAAGATGCTTGGGACGGGGCACCTGGTGACTCAGTCAGTTAAGCATCTGACTCTTGATTTCAGCTCAGGTCATGATCTCGTGGTCATGAGATCCAGCCTCAAGTCCGGCTTGGCACGGAGCCTGCTTGGGATTCTCTCTCCCTCTCTCTCTGCCCCCCCCCCCTCTTGTGCACCTGCACTCTCTTCGTTCTCTCAAAATAAATGTAGACTTTTGAGAAAAAAAAAAATGCTAGGGACATAATTCGGAGAAGAGGGTTAAGTTTCGATAGACTGGGAGAAGGGAGACAGAGCGAGCAGAGGGAGTGAGGCCAGTGTTCTAGAGACTTCTTTCGCATCAGGCTCTGGGCTCCACGGGGCATGCGTGCCCCTGGATAGTTCTCAACCTGGTGGTGTTGCTATTCCCATTTCATAGAAGAAGAAATCAAAGTAGTTGCCAAGGTATTAAGGCCACATGGATCAGAGAAGCCTAAAGAATCATTTTATTTTTTACCTTGTAAATAGCCTCTCCACCCACCAAATGGGGAGGATTATCCTTGACTTGTCCTTCCCCTCCCCTCCCCTCCCCTCCCTCACCTCTCCTAATGCCAAGTCTGGTCAAGTTCATCTTTTAAATCTCTTCCAAATACATTACCCACTTTGCTCCATGCCGCTGCTGTCACCAGATCCAGGTTGCCGTTATTTCTCAACCAGTTCACATAACGGCCCCACTTGCTCTGTCTTGTGGTCTTCATCATAGTGTGAGTTTGGAAAAGCCCAGGTCCAGCCACATCACTCCTGTGCTCAGTCCATCCAGGGCCTTCCAGATGAGGGCCAAGCCCTGGTGTCTATTTCCCCCACCCCGCCCCATCTTGCCCCTCTGGCCCCTGCTCACTTTCCCCACCTCATTTTCGCTCGTTTCCGTTCTTGGAACGTACCATGTTCCCTTGCATGTTGTTTCACTGTTAAGGTTTTTCCAAGGCTTCTTTCCTCTGCCCAAGCCTCCCCCCATCTCCACGCCTTCTCCTGGCTCACTCCCATTCTTTCTTCCAGTCCCATTTCTGAGACCTCAGGTCTTCTGAAGCACGTGCATGGAGTCAGGCCTCAGAGCACCCTGTGTCTGCTCAGGACACCTGTTGAGTTTGTCATTATCATTTATCTTCCCTAACAGGCCCTGAGGCCCAGTGGGGACAGGGACCGGGTGCTGATGGTCACTGCTGTGCCTAGCACAGAACTGTCGCACAGCAGGTGCACAGGTAACCTGCTGAATGAGCCCTCCAGCATTCCAGCAACCCGGCTACCCTTTCCTCACATTTGCATCAGAGAGGTGGGGGTATGCGGGCGGGCGTGGTGAGAATTCAGGAGAGGGGGAGGGGGACCATCAGCAGGTGCAGATGTCAAGCTGAGGTAGATGTTGAGGTTAAGTGGTTGACCTTAACATGTTTAACTTTTTCCTTTTTTTTAGTGTTTATTTACTTATTTTTGACAGAGAAAAAGAGAGAGCTCGCGTGAGTGGGTAAAGGCAGAGAGAGGATCCCAAGCAGGCTCTGTGCTGTCAGCACAGAGCCCGCTCAGGGCTTGAACTCACAAACCGTGAGATCATGACCTGAGCTGACGTCCAGAGTCGGATGCTTAACTGACTAAATCACCCAGGTACCCCTTACATGTTTAATGTAGAACATCAGCTTTAGTAATTTAGATTGCAAATAGAACAATCTCTAACTGACATTTGAAAGCATTTCACTAGGGCACCTGGGTGGCTCAGTCGGTTAAGCATCTGGCTTCGGCTCAGGTCATGATCTCCCAGTTTGTGGGTTCGAGCCCCTCATCGGGCTCTGTGCTGACAGCTCGGAACCTGGAGCCTGCTTCGGATTCTGTGTCTCCCGCTCTCTCTGACCCTCCCCCGCTCATGCTCTGTCTCTGTCTCAGAAATAAACATTAAACAAAAATTTAAAAATAGTAAATGTGCTTTTTAGTACTATTTACAGAATTGCATACCTGCAATAGTGTTGGTCATTTAAAGGCTTTGTCAAAAGCTACAAAGTCACAGTTAATACGAAACTGGGGACTGGGGAGTTCTTATTGATCAGATTTTCTGTTTCACAGAATCATTAGCTAGAAAACCCTTATTGTTTAAAGAGGGAAAAGCTTTCTAAGATAAGAGCCTACTTTCCTGCCTTAATGGGTATGGTGCAGCAAACAATCTAATCTCTTGATCTAGTCTGACTGATTTTCTTTCCTGGGGGACGACCAAACAGCGCTGGCTGGTTCCATTACAAACGTCGTCTTGTCGTCGTGGGAGTGGGGCCTGTGTGAGCGGCAGGGTAGCGGCCCCTCCCACCTGCCCCTCACCCATCCGGCAGCCCAGATTCTAGCCTGTTGGTGTCTCCTGGTGTCCCCAGCCCGCCCATCAGTGTCACTGAATGACCGACCTTTCCCTGGGATACACATAAGCTGCTCCGGTTCTGTGCCTCTCATCCAACACCGGCCAGGGGTTTGCCCCACTGTGCCCCCTTTCCTTCCAGTCTTCGATCAAGAAGCATGCGCTAAAGGCCAGATCTCAGCTCAGCTCAGGGAACAGCGCAGTGACTCTACTGGAGACACCGCCAACTCTGTCCTGATACTGAGTGATGGGGGTCAGCACAGGGTGCCCTTGAGGTCCTGAAGGAGCCCCGGCAGCCCATCTTGGGAGGGGCCGGGAATGTCCCCGTGGCAGGTGCCTGAGCCGAGCCAGCAGCCAGCGGGACAGGCAGAGTTAGCCGGGCAGAGGGGGCAGATCCCTCAGGGAAGAAGCACACGCTCCTCACGGACACCGCTCCCCTGAGGCCGAGGCCCAGCGACACCTGCATTGACGAGCCTCCCCCTTCTCCCCACCGGGGCTTTTTCTCATCCTTATCTCTTCTGTCTGCTGTGTTCTCCTTTTCCAATTGACTCACGCCTCTCCATGTACCCGTTTCTCTTTCTCAAGTCTCTCTGCCTCTAACCACCCGTTAACTGTCTCCCCTGCCCCTTCGAAGCCTGATCATCCCCAAATATTCTGCGTCTCGCTCCATAGTGTTGCCAGCCGCCCGATTGCTCAAGCCGAAACTGCAGACGGTCCCCTCCAGGTTCTTCTCCCTTCACGCCCCCCTTCAATCTGTCGGTAAATCCTGTCAGTGATCCCTCCAGAATCATCACAAGTCCACTCTTCTCCCCACTCCCCCTGCCACCACCTCGAGGGGCCACCGTGATATCTTCCACGCTCCGCGTCACCCATTCCCCACAGAGCTAGAGGGACCTTGTGTTTTTAAAAATGTCTATTTGTTTTGAGAGTGAGAGAGGGAGGGAGCACGAGGGGGGGGGAGGGGCAGAGAGAGAGGGAGAGAGAATCCCAAGCAGTCTCCATGCTCAGCGCAGAGCCCGAAGCGCGGCTCGAACTCAAGAACCGCGGGACCGTGACCTGAGCCGAAGTCAAGGTCACACATTTAACCGACTGAGCCCCCCCCCCCCCGGCACCCCTGGAGTGACCTTATTAAAGACACTGCGTCGCCTCCCCCACTCAAACTTCCAGTGGTTTCCTGCTGCGTTTGGAATAAAGCCCAAACTCTTCACCATCTGGCTTCCGACTGCCTCGGGCGAGTGACACCCTTTCTGGGCCTGAGCGTCCCCGTCTAGAAAATGCGGATAAAATCGTGCCGGCCCCACTTCGCGCTGAAGGATTGAAGTGAGCCCCGTTTACAGTCAGCTCCTCCGCACCTTCCCCGGGCCCAACATCGCACCCTCGCCCGACTCTCTTGCGTGTCATCAACGCTACCGCAAAAGACCATCCCCCCTCTTTGATACCCTGGCGGCATCCCGATTCCCCCTGCCCCGCGGCATCCTGCCTGGCTCCCTCTCAGGCACCAGATCGTGTGCTGTGAATTCTTTCTGGGAAATGTCGCTGCCTGGGGCGCCGTCCCGTGCCAGGGAACAGCTGCTTCAGAGCTGAGAAGTATCAGAACTGTCAGAGTTGAGAAGGAGCCTAACTTCCCAGCTTAGGTCTAAAAAAGTCAGGAAATAGCTAGCATTCGGCTTGCTAATATTCATCCTTGTTTAAAAAATGTGCCTTCCTCCCAGCACTTCAGAACTTCCTGTTCTTCTAGAATAAAGTCCCCCAGTCCTTAGCGTGGTGTTCAGTGGAGCACTAACTCCAAGTGTCCTCCCTGCCAGTGACACCGCCCAGGTTCCAGGCTAAGCGGACTCCCTGTGACCGTTAGCTATGCCCCCTGCTTCCCCCCTCTGTGCCCTGCCCCCCGGGAGGCCCTGCGCTCTGTCCCTCTCTGCAGGCCGCCACCCCACGCCGGGCTTCGAACTACCACCGGTGCTCCATTTCTGTCACTTACGTCATGTGGCACCTTCTGCTTGGTCATGTCACTCTCGGTACTGCCCTCGCGTCATTGCCCCCACCGAAGGACAGGGACCATGTCTCGTTTTATCAGCCATCTACCGTAGCACGTAGTTTCGGTGTCCCTGGTGCCTAGCCAGCTCGTGGGTTAGGTCGTATCTACCACTGCATGCCACAGGTGATGCAACACCCTATGAGGCAGGTACTATTATCATCCCCACTTTAGAGATAAGGAAGTTGAGGCTTAGAGAAGCACACCACTTGCCCAGCAGCGCTATCACCAAGTGCAAATCTGAGCTCTAGACCTGGGTGTGTCTGGTAGCAATAACATGTGCCAGCAGCCAGCCTGGAGGCTTCTACCGTGGTGCCATTTGTATCCTCAAAAGACCCTGGGTGGTAAGAATTATCCTTATTTTCCACAGGCGTGAACTCAGGCTCACCGTTCATGATAAGAACACTCGATAAAGCAGGAGAGGAAGGGAACGTCCTCAACCCGATAAAGGCGTCTGAGGAGACCCCACAGCTAATGTATTTACTGGTGAAGGCCGAATGCTTTCCATCTAGGACAGGCACAGATTCAACACTGTCCTGGAGGTTCTAGTCAGCACAGTTAGGCGACACATAGAAATACGAGACGTTCCAACCGGAGGGGGGAAAAAAAAGACACTAAAACTCTCTGTGCAGATGACATCATGCTATATATAGAAAACCCTGAAGGATATACACGCGCACATAAACCTAGTAGAGCCAGCAAATGAGTTCAGCAAGGTCACAGGACACAAGAGCATCACACAAAAATCAGCTGCATTTCTGGGCGTTAGCAATACACAGCCCAAAAGAGAAATTAAGAAAACAACTCCACGTACGATGGCGTCAAAAAGAAGAAAATTCTTGGGAATAAATCAAGCAAGTGCAAGACTTTTACCCTGAAAACTGCCGAACAGAGTTGAGGAGTATTATTCTGCCCTCAAAGGGGATGAAGCCCTGACCCCATGCTGCCATGTGGATGGACCTCAAAAACACCGTGCCACCTTGAAGGAGCCAGACACAAAAGGCCACACAGTGTAAGATTCCGTGTATGGAACACCCAGAAGAGGTAAATCCACAAAGACAGAGAGCAGATTGGCGTTGCCAGGGCCAGCGGGGGAGGGAGAGTATCAGTGACTGCTTAATGGGTGGGTATGCGGGGGGTGGGGCGGGGAGTACCTGGGTGGCTCAGTTGTTGAGCGTCGACTGCAGCTCAGGTCATGATCTCGCGGTCCGTGGGTTCGAGCCCCGCGTCGGGCTCTGTGCTGACAGCTCAGAGCCTGGAGCCTGTTTCGGAGTCTGTGTCTCCATCTCTCTCTGCCCCTTACCCACTCACGCTCTCTCTCTCCTTCGAAAATAAATAAACATTGAAAAAAACAAGGCCACATATTGTAGGATTCCATTTATATTAAGTGCCCAGAATAGGCAAATCCATAGACAAAAAGTAGATTAGTGGTGGGGCGCCTGGCTGGCTCAGTTGGTAGAGCGTGCAACTCTTGCCTGATGTCAAGGTTGTGAATTTGAGCCCCACATTGGGTGTAGAGATTACTAAAAATAATAAGTAAACTTAGAAAGAAAAAGAAAAAAAAGAGTAGATTAGTGGTTTCCAGGAGCTGGAGGAGGAATAGGGGAATAGGGAATGACTGCTAAGGAGTATAGGGCTTCTTTTGGGGGTGCTGAGAATGTTCTGGAATCAGATTTCTGTGATGGTTGAACATACATACACACACGCACATACACATATACATATACGCACACGCTACCAGGTTGCATACTTTAGAGAGATGACATAATTTGTCTAAGGTTACATCACATACAGAAAGTACAGGACCAGAACCTAGAACCAGAACCTAAACCAGAACCTGGTACCTGAGAACATCTGCTCTTATTAACACCAATGCTGTTGGAGGCAGAATGTTTCCGGGGCCATTGAATAAGTAAATTAAGAAAGTTGGGATCTGGGGGCACCTCAGTCGGTTAAGCGTCCGACTTCGGCTCAGGTCGCGATCTCATGGTTTGTGAGTTCCAGCCGCGTGAGTTCCAGCTGTGCTGACAGCTCAGAGCCTGGAGCCTGCCTAGGATTCTGTGTCTCCTTCTCTCTCTCTGCCCCTCCCCAGCTTGCACTCTGTCTTTCTCTCTCTTTCGGAAATAAACATTAAAAAATAAAAAGATAAAAAAAGTTGGGGTCTGAAAGAGCCTTTGAAGTGTCATACTGAGTATTCCTTCTCATTATAAACTACTATAGTTTGGGATCATTCACAAAAGGGCAGGGGGAAGTCGCACCACGTGGGTTACGCTAGAGGTCGCTTGTGCCCCTGCCCAGCTGCTTCGGTTGTGCCTGTCAGCTGGGAGTCTGAGACGCAGATTCAGGGCTGTGAAGAGCGGACCCCAGGCTGCTTTCAGGGATCAGGGAGAAGAGACAAACCCCCTGCTCCAGTGAACAGCCTTGGGCCAAAGACTGTTACCTTCCCTGGTCCTTGTAAAACCCCTCAAACGCTCCATGTTTCAACCTCTTTTTCTCACACGGCTATTTTTGTCAAAATGGGAAACTGTGTTTATCTTCCTGATTCCTAAAATAATACATTCCTAATTTTAGAATATTTGGAAACTACATAAAAATAGAAAGAAAATTATCCTGGCCTTATCCCAGTCTTGCTTTCTGTCCATATAGGCTCTCTCTCTAGAACTCAGGGGGAGCTCACACGATGGACTCAGAAATCCACTGCCCATCATGCGGGGACACTGTGTCCCCCACAGGCCTCTCCCAGCCAGGGACCGCGTCAGGGACGCTGACATTTCTGCTCGTTTCTGAGGGACACGAGGTTCCTCTGACAAGCGACTCAGCACATTTACCCACAGCCTCGCCAATCTGTCTTAGAAAAGTGCTTCAGGGGGCGCCTGGGTGGCTCAGTCGGTCGAGCCTCCGACTTTGGCTCAGGTCATGATCTTGCGGTTCCTGAGTTCAAGCCCCGTGTCTGGCTCTGTGCTGACAGCTCAGAGCCTGGAACCTGCTTTAGATTCTGTCTCCCTCTCTCTCTTTCTGCCCCTCCCCCTCTCCCCCACCCTCTCAAAAATAAATAAACATTAAAAGAAAAGAAAAGCACTTCAGTCTAACATGCTGCCACCAGCCTTCTGTTCCACGGGGGCCCGGGGCCTGGCCTCAGTCCCCCCTGCGCCTCCGCTGCCCCTCACAGTTTTGCTACTGCTGAGCCTTTGGTATGGAGAGTCCCACCTTGGCACCTGCTCCTCAGATGACCTTCCCTGACGCAGGTGTCCTCGTGTGTTTCTGATATTGTCACGAATGCTGTTAGTCCCCGCCCCCCTTCCCCCCCTCCCCCCCCGGGTGTGTGTCGGTCTGTGTCCAGTCTGTGATCAGCTCCTTAGGAAATTCCACCAGGAGAGAATAGCAGGAGAGGGTCAGCAGGATGGAATCCTCTGCGAGACAGACACCTACTTCCGGAAGTGGCTGAGTAGGCCTTTCGCACCATCAGGCCTTATCGTGTGTAAAGCCTGTGCTGATATAACCTCCTATTCATTTGCTTTTCTTGATTACTAGTAAGGTTCAGCCTAGTTTCACATTTACTGGTTATTTGATTTCTTAGTTTACATTTAACCACTTCTTTGCCTTCTCTTCTCTCTCCTCCTCCTCATTCGTTATCTGATTACCCCTTCTATTTCCTTTTTAGTTTTCCTCTCACCTCTTAATTCTCCAGAACAAGAAGATGACCTTACTTAAAAATGTCTTTCTTAAAGCTTGATATTGCCTGTTCTTCCTTTATAAATCGGGCGACTTTAAGCTTCTACTCAGCTTCAGAGAGTGTCGTATTAATCGTATCGTATTAGATCCTAGTAGTTTTTGCTTCCCTGTGACTCTGGAACATTTGTTTTCCTTTCCTCTGTGAGTCAGTGATATTGGGTTTTTTTTTTTTTTTTTTTTTTGTAAGTCATTACTTTGGAGTGTCTTGAGCACAGGACATACCGTGGAAATGAGTAGATGGAGGAGACACTACATTTCTGACAAAATGTCAGAATCTGACGGTCTTTTTGCCTCTTTCCGGGTTTTGGCAGATTATCACCCAAAGAAATTCTAATTACGCGTGGGTCCTTGTTAGCTGAATTCCAGGTAACTTAGGTGCCAAAGTTTTATTTACCTCATCAGTGAAGGGATCAGTCAGCACAGCACAACCGGCTCAAAGGATAATACGTGCAGGTGACATCTCCTTTTCTCCGTCTCTCCATCGTCATTGAGGGAAGGGAGTGCTGGAATGAAACGGGAAGGGAGCTGTTTGACTGCCTCACCCTCACCGCCACTAACACCCTCTTCACCTCTGGGGTTACTTCTCTACCAGAGAGGAATGATCTGTACCTTATCAATTGTCTACGAATGTCTACAAATCCTACACATTTTCTGCAATTTCCACAAATTCACAGACTCTGGGACCTACTCAGGAATAAATCACGCCAAACAAATCATGCCCCATCCCCTGAGAGCAGTGCTGTCTGATAGAACTTTCCGTGGCGATGGAGATGTTCCACGTTCGTGTTGTCAGTATAGGAACCACTCACCACATGTGGCTCTGGAGCACTTAAGATGTGGCTCGTGGGACTGAAGAAGTAGACTTTTACAAGTGTTTTGTTTATTTTTGAGAGAGAGAGAGGGTGAGAGAGAGCACCTGCTCGCATTCGCGCGCCAGAGAGAAAGAGAGAGAGAAGAGAGCAGGGGAGGGGCAGAGAGAGAGGGACACACAGAATCGGAAACAGGCTCCAGGCTCTGAGCCATCAGCCCAGAGCCCGACGCGGGGCTCGAACCCACGGACCGCGAGATCGTGACCTGGCTGAAGTCGGACGCTTAACCGACTGCGCCACCCAGGCGCCCCATAAGTGTTTTATTTTAAAATAAATGTAGTTATACAGAAAAGTTCTAGATAGTACAGAGTGGTCATATTCCCTTCTCCCAGCTTCTCCTAAATGGGAACATCTTACATAACTGTGGTACATTGATCAAAACTAAGAAATTCACATAAGTGCAGGCTTAATTTGAATTTTCACCAGTTTTTCCACTAATGTCCTTTATCAGGATCCCCTCCAAGACTGCACCCAACCCTCGTGTCTCCTTGGTCCCCAGGTGGCGGTTTCTCTGTCTCCCCTTGATTTTCCTGACACTGACAGCTTTGAAGGGTTGTAGTCAGGGGTTTTGTAGAATGTCCCTTGACTCGGGTTTGCCTGGTGTTTTCTCACGAAGGGGTGGATGTGGATCTGGGGGAAGAGTCCCACAGAGAGGACGAGCCACCCTCCCCACCACGGTAGATCAGGGGTGCCTGACATTCACTGGCTGCTCTGTTTGCCTCACGCAGGGGTGCTGTCTATTGCTTTCTCCCTCATGTGTGGCTGTCTTGCCCTCCTGTGCTCAGTGCTTTAGAAGCAAATCACAGATCCAGCCTACATCAGAAGGAGGGAAGTTCCCCTCCACCTCCTGGAAGGGAAAGATCAAAGAATTTGCAGACCTATGTTAAAACTGCCAAATGACTAGTAAATATTTGTGGGAAGATACTTTGTCGTGAAGCAAATTTCCTGTTTCTTCGCAGTTCACCCATTAATTTTAGCCTTCATCTGTAGATCTTGCCCACAGCAATTATGACTGAGGTGTTCTTTTTTTTTTTTTAAGATTTTATTTTTAAGTAATCTCTACACTCAATGTGGGGCTCAAACCTACAATCCCGAGATCAAGAGCTGCGTGCCCTACTGACTGAGCCAGCCCGGCACCCCACGACTGAGGTGTCCTAATGGTGATTTTCTATTTCCCTCATTCCTTCTATGTTTATTAATTAGAATTCCGTAAGGAACATTTGTCCCTTTTCCTCCATTTATTTATATCACTGCAGACTGGTGGATATTTATTTTACTCTTTGGAAGAACACATGGTCATCTTTTTTGCCTGATTTCCCAGCTTGGGGGTAATTTTTCTAACAATAGTAAATGTGTTCCGATATAGGACAGTCAAAAAGAATGACAGACGAGCACCACGGTGGATATTTTGGGAAAGGCTGACCAAAACACTGTCATTGGAGG